GCTGCATGAGTCCAACAAGCACTACAATCTGGTAAGTTATTATTTATTTCAAAACTACAAAAAAACAAAAAAAAAAACACGTTATCACACGGGTGAGAGCGTGTCCTCATCTGGCCGTGTTGTCTTTTCTGTGCGCTTTCACTTTGTGAGTGAAGAGTTAGAGGGGTTCAGCGTTGGAGGGGTGAGGATTTTTGGGAGGGGCATTCTGGGTAATCACAGTTGGTAAGGGCGGGGAGGAAGGAGCAGTTTGCGTCACGGGGCAGTTTGCAATGTGATGTGGACATTTTCTGATTCTATTTTTAATGAGTGACCAGGGAAGATGTATGCGACTTATTCTGAACTTTTGATCTTTGATCATCAACTGGCGGCCCGCGGACCAAATTTGGACCAAGAAATAGTCCTATCTGGCCCGAGAGGGGTTATTGCATGCAACTAAAAAAAAAAAAAAAGACAACTAAGATCTGTATGACTCCAATGTACTCTATTACTAGAACTGTAGTAACTACCAAAAAAACCTAAGAACTGATAATCTCAACCGTTACAGTTCAACCATTTTGCCTGTTAAAATCAATAGGTTTGTGGAAACCTGACAACGTTATCATATGAGTGCTCTTTATTATATTTAATAACAACATAAAAAATACAATATATACCATATATATAAAATGAGCTATAGATACGTCAAATGAAAACACCTAAGAAGAAAATATGTATTTAAAAAAAAAAAAATTTCATTTCAGCCGAGCTGCATGTCTGACTCAGACCTCATGAAGACTGAGGAACCAGGCCGCTCTCCCCCGACTCCCAAGATGGAGCTGCTCAGCCCCTCCAAGGTGAAGGACCGTTCTCAGAACGTGACAGAGAGGGTCACACAGGTATGAGGTAGAAAAGCAGAGCCAGTGTGTGAGTTCAATAAATACATTTAAAAAAAAAAAAAGATTACAAAGTAATAAAACTATTTACCACAAATGAACATACACCATAGAAAACACAGTAAGTAGGAGAGAAGAGCTAGTTTTTTTGTACAATATTCCCATATTATAGTCTTTAAATGCTTTAAATACTTTAAAAACATGTCGGTTACAGCCGTTGCATTTATACCAAATTTCAAAAGTTGAATGAACACTTAAAACTGACTCTAGGTGTGGATTTGAGTTTCAATGTTTTCCTATTTCTACTGCATATGTAGCACTGTGATGAACTGGTGAGCTATCTGGCATGTACGTCAATCCCGCCTCATCTATGCTGCAATTGCCTCCAGCTCACCCCACGACCCTGAAACGCATAAACTTTAAGACTTTAAAAACCACTTTATTTGTTTAATTTCAGTCATTGCTTCCTTTTTGTTTTTTTACTTGTGACCCCGTTTTAACATCAGAAATTTCTGGCGACCCCACAAGGTGACCTTTTCTTTTCCCTGATCATTTACAGTTCGACGAGCTACTGCAGCATCAGGGTACTGCCAGTAGAGGGCATTGCAGGAAGAGGGTTATATCCTATTGTATTTTGTAAGTGTTTTACTTTCTAAGCACAGCAATAAATAGGCTTCTAGGAAGTTGCTAATGATAGACGGCTGCCGTTAGGTAACCTGGCTGTGGAAAAATCAGTCGCTGCTTTGGGTGGCTGAATGTTTTCCTTTTTGGTGTGGGTAGCAAATTTACATTTAGCCACAGTTCAATCGCTACCCACTGTTGTTAGCCCCAGGGTCGGTGTTCTGCATCACTGCCTCTGCAGGAGGATGTGTGGTGGACAGGAAACGAGTCCTCCTGTTGAAAATCAGCCACTGGTCTTACCTAATGCATCACTATTCATTTAACGATGTATTTATCTGTAGCTTTATTATTTATTAGCAAGTGCTAACGAAATGTCATCTGTTAGCTGTGTGTATCTCATAATGGAGCTTCAATGGCCATAGATATAGAACCATAATGGACGCCTGGGTGTCACAACAAGGTCCATGCGTACTGACTAGTCCAAGTATGGGCAAAATAAGGCCCGGGGGCCAGATGTGGCCCGTTCAGCTTTTTAATCCGTCCCGACAAACGTTTCCAAATGAAATGAAATTTATTTATATTATCATTATACTACTGCCTTTTCCCTGCAATACCCATGTTTCCCCAATAGAAGGTGTAGAAAATGCATTTTAGCCTTTATGCATATATACTTTTACATGTCATTTATCTAAATTAGATTTAAAGTGTGAAAGTTGGATAAAAACAAAGTAAAAAAATGAGTTATTCAGGCTTTAATTGTCTATCTATGTTCATTTACATCCACTTGATGAGACAGGACTCATTTTGAAAAAAAAAAAAAAAAACCCAGCTGGAGTGTACACGGGGACGTTGTCAGTCGTGTGACTGTCAACACCCATTTCATTATCCCAGCCCTCCAGCGTTCAGCTCTCAGTCGGCTCTTGTCCAGCTGGTGACAGCACGCCGGAGAATTATCTCTTTATTTTCGCCATTACCAGGATGTTAGTTCTATCGCACCTCTGAAATTAATTAATTACAGCATGGTCAAGGAATTGTCTGACCAGCAAGGGTTCAAAATCAGGGAACGCAGTCTTCATCGAGAACATGGTAGAAACAGAGGATCTTCAAGAAAGGTCTGTTGTTGTTTTTTTTCCCCCCCTCATTAGTTTAGGAAGAATTGTCATTAGCACTTTGTATGGAAAAAATAGTTTGATGGAGGAGTAAGTGGTTTCTGCCAAATGGAAAAAGAATATTCTTACATGAGAGTCGTTGCATACTGATGCATTTTCTACGCTTAGGTACTTTCTCTGGAGTCTGATGTGCTTCCTGAATACAAACTCCAGGTGTCAGAGACCACACGGTGGATCTTGCTTCACTATAGCCCCTTCAAGGCCTTCTGGGACTGGATCATTCTCCTCCTCGTCCTCTACACGGCTGTTTTTACTCCATATTCTGCCGCGTTCCTGCTGGACGAGCACGGGGACGTACGGCAAAGGAGTTGCGGCTACACCTGTAACCCTCTGAACGTGGCGGACCTAATGGTGGACGTGCTGTTTATTGTGGACATAGTCATCAACTTCCGCACGACGTATGTGGACCACAATGACGAGGTGGTCACGCGGCCTAGCCGGATAGCCAAGCACTATATTAAAGGCTGGTTCCCTATCGATCTGTTTGCAGCCATTCCTTTTGACCTTTTGATTTTTAGATCTGGCTCTGACGAGGTAAGTTCGATGTGCAATTTTTAATACTAATTCCGTTAGTAATTACATTATGAAGGTTTGCTATCCTACTCCACAGTTCATTTTTTTTATGTCTCTGTCTGCTATTTCTGTCTGTTCTAAACGGATACCAAAGATGGCGACGCTAACAAGCCTGCTCAAAACAGCACGGCTGCTACGTTTGGTCCGCGTGGCAAGAAAACTGGACCGATACTCTGAATATGGAGCTGCAGTTCTCTTCTTACTCATGTGCACCTTTGTACTCATTGCACATTGGTTGGCCTGTATTTGGTACGCAATTGGCTTTGTGGAAAGGCCATACACAGAAACTGGCTGGCTGGACAACCTGGCCGAACAACTGGGCAAGGCCTACAATGACAATGACTCCTCCTCTGGACCCTCGGTCAAAGACAAGTACGTCACCGCCCTCTACTTCACCTTGAGCAGCCTGACAAGTGTGGGGTTTGGTAATGTTTCTCCAAACACCAACTCTGAGAAGATCTTTTCCATCTGTGTCATGGTCATTGGCTGTAAGTTGACAATGTTTTTTTTCTTTCTTAAAACCAGGGTTTAGAAATGACCAAAGTACACTGAAGGCCACCCTGGTTAGACAAGTCATTAACCAACTCAGACAGACCTGGTCAATATATTACAACGGCGATAAGGGGCACATTGAGAATTAAAACATAAAAATAAAATTACAAGTCGAAATGAAAATGTGCAAGTCGAAGTGCTATAAGACAAAAAAATGTAACGTTTTGAGAAAATGTCATAATTTTAAAAGATAAAAGTTATAATTTTATGAGAAAAAAAGTTGTAAATTTAGGAGAAAAAATTCATAAATTTATAAGAGAAAAGTTGTACCGTAATTTCCGGTCTATAAACCGCTACTTTTTTCACACGCTTTGAACCCTGCGGCTTAAACAATGATGCAGCTAATTTATGGATCTTTACGAGCTAACGAGGTTCATACCGCTAGAGGCTACTGTGTGTTATACTAGTAGCGTATGTCTGTCTGTGAATTGCTGTGTGCGTATATGTGCGTGGGGCGGGAACGGCGGTGAAGGTTGAGAGCAGTTTGAGCCCTGTCATATTGAAACGTAAGTTGGTTATAGAGGAGCTGTTAAAACACTGTTTGTGTTCTGTTGTGGTCGGTGTGGCTGATAATAAAGACCCCAACTTCCCTGTTTCTGTTTACCTCTGCTGCGGACATGCATAAAGGGAAGGGAGTTAGCCCTTAGCTAGCTAAAGTTAGCTTCGGACCTGAAGCAGATCACTTAATATCCCGTTTCCGCCGAAACAGGAAAGAGCTAACGTGTTAGCCGCGTTACAGGCACTTTTCGGAAAAAAGCATTTACTTAATTAAAAGTGAAAAAAATCTTTCTGAGTAAATACCCCATGTTACAACGTGGACACCCGTGGCTCATAGAGAAGTACAGCCTATATATAGTGTACAATTTTTTTTTTTTTAATTTAGTGGTTGCGGCCTATATTCAGGTGCCTCAATAGTCCGGCAATTACGGTAATTATATGGGGGGGGGCGGGGGGGGAGTCGTGACGTTACGGGAAAAAAAAGTGTTAACCTTGGACTAAGCTTCAATGGCCTCATGAAATAATTTTCCTGTTGTCCCTTAATCAGCAAATACGTGTATTAAGTGTTTTTTGCTTTCGTCGCAGCTCTCATGTATGCCAGTATATTTGGAAACGTGTCTGCCATTATCCAACGGCTGTATTCAGGTACAACCCGCTACCACACTCAGATGCTGCGGGTCAAAGAATTTATCCGATTCCATCAAATCCCAGGCAACTTGCGCCAAAGGCTAGAGGAGTACTTCCAGCACGCGTGGTCATACACAAACGGCATCGACATGAATGCTGTGAGTGAAAAAGTCAGTGAGTTGTTCTTCCATGTTCATCGTTTATGCCTGTTGACTTTTTATGTTCTTGATGGCTCTTCTTTTCCCACCCAAAGGTGTTAAAAGGATTTCCGGAATCACTGCAGGCGGACATCTGTTTACACTTGAACAGGTGTCTGTTACAGAACTGTAAGGCCTTCTGTGGAGGCAGTCAGGCCTGTCTGCGTGCATTGGCTATGAGGTTTCGAACGGTCCATGCACCGCCAGGCGATACTTTAATCCACTACGGAGACATTCTGGACTCTCTCTTCTTCATCTCCCGTGGTTCCATCCAGATCATTAGGGATGATGTGGTGGTAGCCATATTAGGTAATATTTGATCGTAATCATTTGGGCTACCAACATTTGGTACTTAAGGAAATGTCTTTAACGAGCCCCTAAAAAATTATGTAGATTTACCAATTTTGACAGTGATTTTTTATTTTATTGTAAACCACAAGAAGAGTTATATATTTTATATCTTAAAAAAACTAGTCTAAATATATATCTAACATTTTCAACACCTTGCAGAAAAGAATGACATCTTTGGCGAGCCCATTCACCTGTATGACGAGCCAGGGAAGTCCAATTCCGACGTGCACACGAGCGCTTACTGTGATCTCCATCGCATCCAGAGGGATGACCTCCTGGAGGTCCTAGACATGTACCCTAGCTTCGCCGACAACTTCTGGAGGAACCTGGAAATAACCTTTGACCTGAGAGATGTAAGTTTATTGGCTTGAATTTAGGGAAACTAGCAGAAAAATGTATCGTTCTGATTTGTCCTTATGTAGCTGCAGCAGAACATGTAAAACATCGTAGATACGGTATGTTGTACCAATGGGTGTGGCCTGAATTATCAAATGTGGACCACACGTAGAATAATGCTTAATTAATGTTCAAATCTGGTGATGTCCGTTATTTATTTATATTGGCCAACTGATATAATCAGCCGATATTAGCATAATTATGTAATATTGGTAAGTCTTGCTATTGTTTATTTTCTCCTCGCTAACTAATGCCTGATTTCACCCAGATAATGTGACCTAAAAATAGTGTGGTTCTCCGATATTAAATTTTTGCCGATATCATCCAAACACCTAATTTCCGATTCCGATATCAACCTATACCGATATAGCTGGGCAGTGGTGGAAGTTAAGGGTTGCCTGCTCACTTAGGTGATGGGTTAAAACAGTGTTTCTCAATTATTTTCTGCCCCCTAGTGGACAGAATCAAAATACTTGAGCGCCTAATATTTATTCATTTATCTGTACAAACCACTGTAAGAGCTGCTGGCAGCCACACTCTTCATACAATCTCCTGATGATTGAATGAATGAATGTAGATTAATAACATAAGGTACGATGCTGCCATCTAGTGACTAGAGGCTTGTTTATCGTTCATGTTCATGTGTTATGAAGGAGTTAATAGTTACAGGTATGGGTTAGAGAGTGAGGAGGTGTGGTGAGAGCGCTTGTGTGTATGAGAAAGAGAGAATGTGAGAGGAGGAAAAGGTGTTTTTGGAGAAGCTGGGTTGAGAGAAATAAAGGAGTTTAGAACCAGTTACTGCAGTTGTGTTTCAATGAAAGCTCTTCAGAGCACTGAGGCATCTGATTGGTCTGTCGATGGGCCATTCAACTATTTTTAGAGCACTACATCATGTAGAGCATACGTGTCAAACTCAAGGCCCGGGTACCAAATGCGACCAAGCCAAGCTGTTTTGTGTGTTCCGCGGGAGCTTAAAAAACATTTAGTAAAGTCCATGCAAGAGAAACATGTACTAGCGTGTTACAGAGTGGTTATATATATCTATACCAGCGGTCCCTGACCTTTGTTGTTCCAAGGACTGGTCAGCCAGTACCAACCGTTACTACAGACCAGTAGCAAGGTGCTGAGCATTGAAGGATCATTACATTTTCAAAATAAAACATCTCTCAGACTATTCTGTTTGTATCAAAGTCAGTCATTCTGACAGTCAGTCTATTATTTTAAAATATTGACAGATTATCTTTAAATAAAGAAAGTAAATGGATGTGACTGGATTTTCTTTGAATGAAGTAAAATAGCTAAAATTAAGTTGTGTTTTTTTTTTTTTTTTTTTTTTTATTAACACTTTCCCCCCCCCCGCCCTGGACCCATTTGACCTATGGACCGTTACTGGTCTGCCAATCAGGGGGTTGGGGACTCCTAATCCTATACAGTCTTCCATTTACAACCGGCCTTTCAAGGGGAACTGTATTGCTGATGTGAAAATGAGTTTGACACCCCTGATGTAGAGCATCAGTTGGCCAGTATTATCGGACATCCCTAGTCCTCTGCCTTTAAACCAAACCACTGCCTATATCAGTATTGGTTGATATTGGAATCGGAAATGAAGTGTTTGGCCAATATTGGCATATTTGATATCGGTAAAAAGTTAATATCGGACATCAGTTAAACCGTTTACAAGTCATAGCATTACAGAGTGACACCAACGATAGTAAGAAGACATTTATTATGCAGAGTATTTTTAGTTTATCATATTGTAACGTGTGTGTGTGTGTTACTTGTGTCTCTCTGGATTCTCCAGGCTGATCAGAGTCCACCAGTGTTACCGAGTGATGATTCTGGTGACACTTGTGGCTATCACCACAGACCAAGGCACAGAATGCGCTCCCTGGACTGCAGGATTAGGCCTGGTGAGTTTTAACGCTGCAAAGAACCTTTCTCGTAGTGTGCAAAGGAGAGATGAGTGTTTCTTTCAGCGTTTTCAAGATTGAAAGTGTAAATGTAAACAGAAAGGTACGTCTGAGTGATCAATCGCTTGTGGCTGTGATGTCGATGTAGTTGGCTGGTAAGTTATTGCACAGGAATAATAATTTAGTTCCTTACAACCTACACAGGAAGTAACATTGGTGCCCATGGGGCTCAAACCCAGTGTAAGGCAGGCATGCTAACCGCTACATTACGGAACCAATATTTAGCAGAAGATGGTTTCGATCCTTCGACCTTTGGGTTATGGGCCCAGCACGCTTCCACTGTGCCACTCTGCTTGCTGTTCTACTTGCACAACATTGTACCAAAATCTGAAAATGACATTACATTTAAAAAAAAAAAAAGTTGAATACACCTTTTTCGTGCACTGTCCATTACGCTGCATTATTTAAACTTGTGACCCTATTATGACATCACAAATTTCCAGCAACCCCACAGACATTTTAGTAGCTGTCACTTCCGCAGCCCTATGATCTCAACCGTTGATCAAGATGAGCCAGCTCAGATATTTTTATACGCTGCGTTTGAATTGAACTTGATTTATATTCATAAATGTTTAAGATTGTGCGTGGTGTTTTTAATCACAATTTTAAAAAGAAGAATAATTAGTTAAAACTACTAGACATTTTAGGTGACCTCATTTGAATTCCAGGTGATCCAGCATGGGGCAGTGACCCTCAGATTAAAAAAAACATGGGAGAAAAATGTCTGAAAATAATACATAAAAATGACTGCGGTGACTGATGTGCTCTGTTTTATAAACAGATGGAATTGACCATGAAGACTCGTACCCCCTACAGCCCTTCCAGCACCCCAGCTCACCTCCTCAGGCCCACTGGGATGATCACTGTAGCTGTGATTCCCCTTGCTCCCAGTCCAGCGACGACCTGTCCAAATCTCTCTGCCGTGGTGCAAAAATCGATCTGTATGATGCGGAGGATCCCACGCAGGACTATGCTCCCTCTGTCATGCAGCTACTGCCCCCAAGTGGCAACACGGTGGGGAGGGAAGCAGTACTCGGCAGAGGCCATAAAGGTAATGGGTGAGGGTGATACCTTCCATGTTGCCCTTGTGTAAAACACAATTTCTGGCATTTGAACACCATACTTTGGATTGTGCTACATTCGCTGACTTTTTTTACGTGTTGTTTTTTGGGAACTTTTTGCCCTTCATAATGGCTCGCAGGTGTAAGTCAGACTCTTCTGATGTTTGAGTGTCCTAGATTATGATGTCGGCAAAGACAAGTGACACAGTGACTAATGGAAGTCGAGGGAGTGTTTAAATATGACAAAACTTGAATTATTAGTCCATAGTGTTATTGCTTATGTTTAACGATTTAAAAATAAGCTGGTAGTTTCTACAGTACTTTGCTCAGTTTTAAATAAATACTGTACATTTTTAGACGACCCTACTACAGTAATAGGGAAACACAAAGAACTGAGCATATTATATAAATATATATATACATATATGTATATATATTTATATGTATATATTACATTTTCAGTCAAAATATTTTTTTACATTTTCTTTATGTACTGTATGTTATGTATGTATGCAGTACTTTTATGCACCTTTTCACGATCCAATCCGCAGGTTTAAACGTCCCAGGAATGTATCATTACTGGCCAGAGAGACAGTCCCAACAGTGTTCCAGTCGGACGTGGCGATCGTCTTCCGTCCGCAACTCCTTCCATCCTCCGCCGTTCACAGAAGAAAGGCCCAGTGATCTGGAGTCCCGACTTGAGGTTTTGCATTCACAAATTAACAGGTATATGTCTTGTTTGGTTTTTTTTTAACGTATGTGTTTATGTGTGTAAAGAAAATCCTTATTATTCTGATTTCTTTTTTTATCTCTCCAGATTAGAAACTCGAATGACAGCGGACATCAATGTTATTCTGCAACTTCTCCAGAGGCAGATGGCTCCTGTACCTCCCGCCTACAGCTCTGTATCATCTAGTACACTTCCCTCCAACTCACCAGGACTCTATGGGACTGGGACCCCAGTCCTGCACAGCCTGTACCCCATTTCTCCCACACAGATGGACAGCAGAGCACCCAAACAGGTACACGATAAAAAATATTTTAGTCATAATTGTATAATGCGAGACTCACACTTCACAAAATCTGCGCCCCCCCAATCCAAAATTAATGGAGAAAAAAAAAATGAATGAACAAATTAAAAAAATAATTAATAAAAAAATGAATGAACAAATTAAAAAAATAACTAATTAAAAAATTAAAAATCCCTAATAATACAAATTGCAAACTACTACTATAACTGCTTTCATTATTATTGTCATTATTATTATTATGCACACTGTTAGGGAAACCTATTGATTAGACTTATATTTCAAGCTGTATATCTGTTCTGTCAACAAATGTATTGGTTACACACATTTGTATTCTATTAACTACAGCTGTTTTGACTTAGATTTCCCAGTAGAGGGCGATGGTAAGCTATATCACGCCATAAAGAGTTGAGCAGTGGTGAGTTGCATCCATTACGCAATTTGCGCAAAAAGGAAGCTACTTTTAATTCAGCTTATTTCACCCGTGAACTGTTTACCGAATAGTTCAACAACAAAAAACCCAAAATGTATGCGCTATAACATAGCGCATACACGGCTAATAGTACAAATCCTGCCAGTATATAGTGGCTATATACTGGTGGGCCCACTCTAGTACACATTTGATATGACCTCACGAGCCAAATATAATAATGCACTGCGGGCCAGATTTAGCCCCCGGGCCTGAGTTTGACACGTGCGGCATACAACTGGCGAATGTAAACAAATGGAATGTAAACAAAGCCGCCATCCACGTATAGTGAAGTACTTTGAAATTTATGGGGGGGCAGTGGAGAAGTACATGGTAAACCGAGAACCCTAAGCTTTTACGCAGCTTTCGTATGTAAAGATGTGATTATTTTCTCACCTCAGACTGACCTTCAGTTCACCGAGAAGTCCCAGGAGTCTTTGTCCAGTGGCATTCATGTGACTGTGGCGTCCGACGACACCATGTTCATGGCGGTCACGCCGGAAACCGAAGCCCATGTCAGGTTGACGCCACAGATCCCTGCAGCGCCGGTCACGTCCTCCTTGACGGGAAACTCCAGGATGTGCAGTGGCCTGCGCTGCCCCTCTCTGCCAGAAAACCTTGACCTGACTTCAGGACTTGAAGGGGTCCAGAAACACCTATCAGACCCTGTGTTGCCTGTTATCTGAAAATCTAGTGAAGCATCGTAGCGACATCGTAACTAAAAGAGGACGTGTTACAGCGCAGCCCACAGACTGGTACCGTAAACGGACTCTAGGAATCACCTGTTACTTCTAGGATGAGCGATTGTGAACGAGTATTGACAAGTAAATGACCGCAACCCAAGTTTTGGGTACCACGTACCTTTAAGGGAATCTCTCCCAGTGGTTCCTGAACGCTCTCTCTATTTACGTACGTTTACGGTCTTTAGCTAACACCACGTATATCTGCAAGGATGAGGGGCCGCCGTTCAATGTGTCTGCCAGCACGTCGGTAAAAATAATATAACGTAATAATATAAATAATATGCATTGATACAAGCAAGCGTTCCATACGTGTGGCTAACATTTGTATACGGAAAGTGTTTTGAAAGAGTTTTATTTTTAAATGAATCAAAATAGTTATGGTTGGTAAAATATTAGCAAGGACCATGTAGCGCGCTTCAAATACCTTACCAAACATGTGACAACATAACAGTGGTTTTCCAGTGTTATAGTGTCTCTCATAGTGTGCTTAGAGGCAGTCTTAGCTTCAATGGCGCTAACGTTTTTTTTTTGTTTGTTTTTTTTGTTTTTTTAGCACGCTAGGCATAATGTAGCAGATGAACGCCGTACAATAAACTGCAGTGCCAGAAATAACATATAGTTTCTACAACATATTTGGGGGACTTACAACAGCGGCCACACCTGGGAACACGACTAGTGGATAATGTGGTATCCGAGCGAACAGAAAGAACAAAAAGTTGTATTTTTATTTCAATTTTTTAAATTTTATTTTATTTTAAAAATCTTCTAGCTAACTTGAATGCACGAATGAGTAAACGTCGCTGGGGGAAAGACCTGATGCAGAAAATACCACAAGTCTTAAAATAAATGTACACAATAAAAAAAAAAACAATAACTACATTAATATTTGTACTAATTAAATTATATAGAATGCACTTTATTTAGCTTTGTTGTACGCGTGACATCCCCTCACACACACACACTGACTGGTCCGAGGAAGCATTTTTTGCGATGGTGCAAAGAAGTTTCCGGACCACTGATCTTCATTATTTTGGTCATCAAATTTTTTTAAATTAATTAATTTTTTTTTTTTAATAACAGTGTGAAAATGGCTGTTCTGGCTCATTTACAGTAAGGTGATATACGGGATTTTTGTAACAAAAGTAAAAAGACTACTACTATCAATAGATCGCATGCGAAACAGAAAGAGAGTAAAAATAG